TTCCAAAATCATGTCAGCTCCTTCACTCTGGGATGTAATCCATCTGGTTCTAGTGGTTTAAACTTGTCTAGAGTGGACATGTATTGCTTATCATTTTCTTGCATACTTTGACTTGTATTCCTAATCAGTCTTTTAGGGCATCACTTTTGATACTTCAGACTTTTTTTTATGTAAAGACAGATGCAAAGAATTAATTAAGCAATTCTGCTTTCTCCCTGCTGCCTGTCATCTCCTTGCCATTGCCATTTTCTCCAATTAATGGAGCGTTTCCTTGATTTTTTTTTCTTGATTTTTTTACATGTTGAAATAAACTTTTAAAATTATTTTTGATACTTATCACAAGTCTTAGTTCATTCTGAGCCTTAGTTTACCTGACTTCATCTTTACAGATTTGGGCTATATTCTGGTATTCTGCTTTGGTTATAGATCTCTTTTTTATTTTTTATGATAGTCCTTTTCGTGTTTCAGTTTGTCAGTTTTATATACAATGATAATAACACTTTTTCACTCTTCTTATTTAGAAATAGTTGTTCATGTTTTCATGATTTTTTATTGTCAGATTGGGAACAAAAGGATCAAATAGGCCTCTCTAAGTCTGATAATAGTCTCAGCTATTATTATTTCATTATTATTATAATGAAATATAATCACCCAGATGTTCAGACTAGGTTTGGCATTTTTGTCTACACACAAGCCCTTAACCACGTCAAGGCAGCATCTCAATGGGGGTCACTATTATTTTTATTATTTTTATTATTATTGTTATTGTTATTGTTATTGTTATTATTTCATTCCTATCATTAATTAAGCCTGCTAATGTGTAGAAACTAAAATCTGATTTTGACATTATTTGAATACCAGGACTGATATAATTTTTCTTGTTCAAAGATTTAGAAAATCATCCCAGATATAATATGGCAGAAATGAGAATTGGGAACATGGAATTTTTATGGAAATTAAAAGATTTATATTTTTAGTTAAAAGATATGTATTTTAGACTTTCAGAGTTCTGCTCCTAACAACTATGCTTTGTTCTGAAATGGTATAAAGTTTATTTTAAAAAATACACATTGCATATGAGAACAAAGGATAGTTTGTATAGCAATGCAGTCTTTAGGACTGGAGGAAAAAACAGGTTTTATGATGTAAAATGACAGTTTGCTATACTTTAAAACAAATAGAGAGCTCTTCCCTTAAGGTTGATTTTGGAACAAATGTACAAATGCAACTGTCATATGAGTCCTCTAATGTTATTTTTCCCCGTGTTCAAGAAAGCTTAAAATAACCAGGAGAAAATGCAGAAGGAACTCCTGTTCTATTATTCTGTATGTTGTTTCCTATCATCTTTCCAGATACATATGGCCATCATCCAGTCACTTGAATATTATTATAATCTGCTGACCAGAATTCTCAAATTTACTAATTGTCATTTTATGTGTCTCAATTATCATTGCTGCAATGTTTTGAGATAAAGGATCAAATTTTGATTTAAAGTATTATTATTTATTTAGGTTTTCCTCATTTTATCTTCAATACTTACGAAGCATTGTGAATCTTGACAAGAATGTGCCTTATCTTATTTTTAATTTGGTGTTAGCTCTATCAGTTTTATTTTGCAGAAGACATTTAAGTTTATACCTATTATAAATTGTTACTCAGTTAACTGGAGTTAGTTCTGTATAACTACTATAGGTCTAATGTTTCTATGAAAAAAGTAATATAGGTTTTAAATTATTTATTCAGTTAATTACTGAATTTTGAATTATTTTAAATCGTTTGGAGTGGTATCCTACAGAGACTTACTTCAGATCAGACACCAGCCTGAAGATGACGAATGTGACTTCGTCGAAACGTCGCCAAGACACTACTAATTCTACGCGGGAGAAAACCCGAATAACTAAAGACCTACATACAAACACCCGCGAAAACCTCAGAAAACATATATATATATATATATATATATATATATATATATATATATATATATATATATATATATATATATATATATATATGCCAATAAATAAATAAAATGAACACCAGGGTAAAATGATCAAACTCTAGGAGTTTAATACTACTATACCAACGCCAAGCTTTCGTCAGCATCCTGCTGACATCGTCAGGGCTTAAACAGCCAGTCCATGGGAGAGTCTTTTATAGTTCAAACATAGCCTGCACACGGCCCCTGGGCCTTGTTACCGGTCCTGATTGCATCAGCTGCGCTCCACGGTGATCTTTCCTCCGCCGGCTGTCCCTATCCTGCAAGACTTATCCATACGGTCGCTCCTACCAGGCTCATTTACTCGCGGGCTGGGGGTAGATGTGGCACTCTTCCTTCTCTCTCTCCTCAACCGCATCCCCTGTCCCCCTTGCACGTGTAGTCCCGTGTTCCTATTCCTCGCATTGGTTGGGCCCACTTGGCTCGGGATGCTCACTCTCTTTTCTGGACCCCCGCTGGCTTTGGCTACCCCACTGTCACTCTCACGGGCCTCCTCCTCCCTTTTTGCAGTCACATCCCTCGTATCCCTTATGCCTCCAGGCTATGTTTGAACTATAAAAGACTCTCCCATGGACTGGCTGTTTAAGCCCTGACGATGTCAGCAGGATGCTGATGAAAGCTTGGCATTGGTATAGTAGTATTAAACTCCTAGAGTTTGATAATTTTACCCTGGTGTTCGTTTTATTTATTTATTGGCATGGATGCACCCAGGGATCATGTGTTTAGTTTAATTATCAACATATATATATATATATATATATATATATATATATATATATATATATATATATATATATATATATATATATATATATATATATATATATATATATATATATATATATATATATATATATATATATATATATATATATATATATATATATTCTTTTTCTTTATCCCAAATTAAAAAATAATATATGATTTAAACTGTCATTAATTTATGCTGAAATGTCTATATACTAAAAAAAATAACATTACCTAATAATGTGTATATCAACTTGGATACATTTCTAATGTAAAACTGTTGATTTATATAAAGTAAACTGATATAATCTTAGCAGCCTTATGTATATTGCCTCAGATGTAATACTTCTGATGCAATGGACATAAGGCTGCTAAGATGGGAACCTGAACTCTTGAGGCCAGAGAGAATCTTATGCAAATGTCTGACAATAAGAAAAAAAAATGGCCACATTTTTTTGTGCTTTCTGTATTAAAAGTTACATGCCATATATGGAATGTGTTGGAAGCTAGCTTCTTTGGTGGTATAAGTTATAATGCTGTTAAGGATGATAGTATACTGACTTTTTGTTGATAGTTATTATTATTCAATATAGTTAACAATTGTTGTAAACTGAACTGCCATAAAAGCTTTCTTAATAAAGAAATAAAGTACAGTTTTGATGGATGGATTGATTTGAAGTAATGTTCAAATTGCGGCCTTAGGTCAGCGTACTGTCAATCAAATTTTAAACTATCTGATTTATTGCAAGACAAATTTGGATGGCTTATAATGGCAAAATGACACCATATTTAATTAAAACTTCTGATCATACAGTAAACAACAATACAAAAGAAAAAAGCGACTAGAAATTGTGTTATGAGCGGAACATTTTGAAGATTTTATAATCTTTTCAGCATCATCATAACTTTGAATAGTCATTGAATAATTGGTTGGTTAGTGAGGACTACTTGTAGTTGCAAATCTGATATATGTTTCTTTTTCCATCATTGAATAATATTTATTTAGACAACTTCCATGTCCTCTCCCTGGATGCTCTAATACAGTGATGGTGAACCTTTTAGAGACCAAGTGCCCAAACTGCAACCCAAAACCCACTTATGCATCGTCGGGTGCTGGGTGGATGTGGCCCATTGGGTGGGTGTGGCTCATTGGGTGGGCGTGGCTGCAGTGGTAACAGCAGACTGGGTGGGACTAAAAAGTTCAATCAATCAATTCCAACTTTGCAAGATCTTTTTTTTTCCCTGCGAGAAGTTGAAATTGACTGATTGATGGAACCATTTTTTTTTTTGTACATGGCGGCGGAGGCCTAAAGCAAAAAGGTTTTATAAAACCCAGCTGAAGGCCTAGGACTGGGGCGACGGCGCGCGTGCCCACAAAGAGGGCTCTGAGTGCCACCTCTGGCACCCGTGCCATAGGTTCGCCACCACTGCTCTAATAGTTTCTAAATACTTGAGATATATCCAAGAAAATATAATATTTTTAAATATACTATAATTGATTCAATTGCATTTTTTAAAGATGGCGACAGCGTCTGTGTTTGTTGATGGTATTCTGAAGAGTTTTGCAGAGAAGGTTTTGGTAAGTTTTTTGAATGTAGAGATAGGTATGTGGAAGTGGAGGAGTGTTTAGAGAAAGGCAAGAGGGAGTCAGGCATGATAAGCTTGTTGAGAGGCTGGAGATTTGGTGGAGAAACAGAGAAGTGGAGAAGCAGAAAGGCTGAGAGTTTGAAGAGCAGAAAAATTGGAAACGGGCAGCTGGAAGGTGAGATGGAGGAGAAGAGGTGGATGATTTATGACTATGTGTGTTGTGTCCCAGGGCTTGCAGCAGGCAAGCCCGGACCGTTGTCATGGCAACGGGCTGCCAAAAGCTGCCTGGGGCCAGACAAACAGGCACCAGCCTGCGCGCATGCGCAAGGCAAAGCGTGCGCCAAGAAGTAACAACTTGACCCGGACAGCTTCAGTTCAGTTGCTGAGTGAGCAAGAGAGGCCTGCGTGTCTCCGTTAGTGATTTAAGAAGCTGGAGGATTAAATAAACAAGGTTCCTGTTTCACAGCATGTCTGCCTCATTTGTCATCGAATCCAAGGATTTAACACTGGCGACGAAGGTGGGATCTTCTTACAAGTTTCAGACAGTGTAAGACAGACCTGAGGAATCCTTGGAGAGGGGAGACGGTGTCAAACAGCACTTGGCCTGCCAGTACAGTGTCGCTGGAGGTGAGCTGGCTGAAAGACCCCTTCCTGAAGAGTGTGCATGATGGCAAAAATAGGGAGGCTGTCTGAGTTCGATGTAAGCCATCCAGAAAGGTGGGAGACTTATGTGGCAAGAGCAGAAACCTATTTCAGAGTTAATCAAATACGGGAAGATGGTTTAAAAGCTGCAACATTGCTTTGTGTATGTGGCCAAGATGTCTTTGAGATTGCAGAGAACTTAGCAGCTCCTGCTCCCTTAGAGTCTGTAACTTACACAGACTTGAAGAATTTATTGAAGGAGCATTTTCAACCAGAGATGTCCATAATCGCTTGGAGACACAATTTTGAGCAGAGGGATCAGAAAGCTGGGGAATCAGCTAAAGAATATATTGCAGCATTAAGAAGAGCGGCCAAACTGTGTGAGTTTAAGGACTTAGAGGAAAGACTCAGGGACTGTTTTGTGTGTGGACTGAGGAACAGAGGCCTACAACAAAAACTGTTTGCCAGAAAAGATTTGTCTTTCCAAGATGCTGTAAGAGAGGTAACGGCTGAAGAGGCGGCTGGTGGAGCAGTTAGACACATGCGGCCCAACAAACTGGGTATAGAAGAAGCCTCTGTGCATCTAGAAGAAGCACAGGAAGCCTCTGAGGAAGGATCTGAAGAAGAAGTGGATCACCTCGTCCCATCTAAAGAAGGAAAAAAGTTTGAAAGAAAGAACCAAAAGTCAACAGGGCTCAAGTGTTTCGGGTGCGGTGGTCGCCACAAGAGGGCCGACTGCAGGTTTCGTGCAGCTGTCTGCAGAGCGTGTGGAAGGCAAGGACACATAGCAGCCGTTTGCCTAGGACGAAGGAAGGTACAGTATCAAGAAGAATTGCACCAGAAAGACACCAAGGTCCCCAGCCAGAACAGAGTAGGCTTCTGCGCATCGCGCAGAAGTGTTTATAGGACAGGCACACACAAACCACTTAAAAAGAAGTTGTCTCTTAAGGTGAAACTGCAGGGAGTGCCATTAGTCATGGAGCTGGACACAGGGTCCGCTCTTTCAATTATTTCCATACATACATTTAGGAAGATCTGCAATAGCAGTGGGGTTCAGGCAAAATTAAGGCCTTCAAACATAGTTTTAACTGATTTCCAAAACTCTAGAGTGTGCATAAAGGGGGAGGCCACCCTTTCTGTACAATACAAGAGTTTTGTGGGCCCTTTGGATGTCCTGGTTGTTGGGGGTGACAGAATGAGTCTTATAGGACTCGATTGGTTGGAGGCCTTGGGAGTTCAAGTCACTGGCTTGCACAGTCTGCAAACATTAAGCCTAGCAGGAGTCTGCGAGGAGTTTGCAGATGTGTTTAGTTCTTAGCTTGGATCTTACCAAGGGCCTCCTGTTTCGTTGAAACCCCAACATCACACCCATTAGAGTTAAGGCTAGGAGAGTGCCTTTCGCTTTGAAAGAAAAAATTGATGCTGAATTGGATAAGTTAATCCAGCAAGGCATTTTAGAGCCTGTAGACTCGAGTCCATGGGAAACCCCCATTGTTACACCTCTTAAGGCTAATGGGGACATACGTATTTGTGCTGATTACAAGTGCACCATCAATAAAGCATTACAACAGCACGCATACCCTGTTCCAGTAGTGGGTCACATTCTGGCTTCTCTTAAGGGAGGGAAGATTTTTGCAAAGCTTGACTTGGCTCAAGCGTATCAACAGTTACCTGTTGATGCAGCAGCTGCTGAGGCACAGACCATTGTGACGCACAGGGGTGCTTTCAGAATAAAAAGACTCCAGTTTGGAGTAAATGTGGCACCAGGTATTTTTCAAAGTGTGATGGAAAACACACTAAGGGGCATTCCTGGGGTCTGTCCTTACTTCGATGATGTCCTTATTGCTGGAGATTCTGTGCACAATCTAGCAGAAAGACTAAGGGCTGTACTGCTGTGGTTTAGGAAAGCAGGTTTAAAGCTTAAGAAAAACAAGTGTAAGATAGGAGTCACGTCCACAGATTTTCTGGGGTTTAGAATAGATGCACAGGGCATTCACCTAGCTGAGTCAAAGTTGAAGGCCATTCAACAGGCTCCTCGCCCTAAGTCAAAGGGCAAACTGCAGGCTTTTTTAGGCCTTCTAAATTTTTACAATGCTTTCCTACCTCACAAGGCTGCTGTGGCTGAGCCTCTACATAGACTGTTAGATAAACAGGCAGTCTGGCAGTGGACCAAGGTTCACGATCAGAGTTTCAATGAGGTAAAGGCCTTACTCACGTCTCATAATGTCCTTGCTCATTTTGATGAGAGACTTCCTGTTTGCATCGCATGTGATGCTTCCCCTTATGGGGTGGGTGCTGTTTTTAGCCACTTGAAGGTTGATGGAACCCAGGTTCCAGTTGCTTATTATTCTAGGACCCTTTCTTCCGCTGAGCGCAACTACGCTCAAATTGATAGAGAAGCTTTGGCCATAGTAGCGGGTATTAAAAAATTTCATGATTTTTTATATGGCAGGCATTTCACGGTCTATACTGACCATAAGCCTCTGTTAGGGCTGTTTACCACCAATAAACAAACCCCTCAAATCATTTCCACTCGAATGCTAAGATGGTCCATTTTTTTGTCTGCATATGACTACTCACTAGTTCACAAACCTGGTAAGGAGATGGGTCATGCAGACGGCCTGAGCAGGCTATCCCTGCCCCTTGTGGAGGCAGATCCTGCTCCTGCCATTAATATCCTTTCCATTCAGGAGCTGCCAAAATCTCCCCTGACTGCCCGAGATGTAGCTGCTGAAACTGCCTCTGATTCCACACTCAACCGTGTACTTTCTTGGGTACTATCTGGGTGGCCTGACAGGTGCCCAGGTACTGAGTTTCAAAGCTACTGGTACAAGAGGCATGAGCTGTCCACCTTTAAGAGTTGCCTGCTGTGGGGCAGCAGAGTGGTCATTCCTACCTCACTGAGGTCTAGGATCTTGATTTCCCTTCACGAGGGGCATTCTGGCATTGTCAGGATGAAGGCGCTTGCGCGTAGCCACTTATGGTGGCTGGGTTTAGATAAGGATATAGAGGCTCATGTACATGGGTGTCACTTATGTCAGCGTTCTAGGCCGGAGATGCCACAGGCCCCAGTGCACAGGTGGGAAGAAACACTTAGGCCATGGTCACGTGTCCATGTGGACTATGCTGGGCCATTTCAGGGCAATTCTTCTTGGTGCTTGTGGATAGCCATTCAAAGTGGCTGGAAGTCATACCTGTCTCGTCCACCACTACCGCCAGGACCATCCAAGTGTTGCGTGGCATTTTTGCAGCTCACGGTTTGCCAGATGTCTTGGTTTCAGATAACGGCCCACAGTTCACGTCGGCGGAGTTCCAGGTTTTCCTGCAGGCCAATCTGATCCGGCATGTGACATCTGCTCCTTTCCACCCGTCCACCAATGGCATGGCTGAACGGATGGTGCGCGTCACCAAGGACGCCCTTAAGAAGCTGACTTACGGGGACTGGCACCACAGGTTGGCTGACTTTCTTCTTGCCCACCACACCACTCCGTCCATGGCTACCGGGAAAAGCCCGGCTGAACTCCACTGGGGTCGCAGACTGACCACTAAGCTGGACAGGTTACATCCTGATAGGTTGGCACCTGTGGAGGCTCACCCACGGGCGCCACGGGGTTTGTCAGTGGGAACTCCGGTTTGGACCTGGAATTATGGTCCTGGCCACCCTTGGGTTCCTGCAGTTGTATGCAAGGTGACTGGGCCATTGTCGTATGAGGTCTCCGTGGAGGGCGGCCGCATCCTGCGTCGGCATATCGATCAGCTATGAAAAAGACTGGACTCTTCTTCTCCTTCGCCGGGGTCTTCTCTGGGGGGGGAGGGGGAGCAGGAGGAACCAGGGGAAGGTCTGTTTCAAGGTTCAGCAAGTGTGCCAAACAGGAATTCATGGGGGCATAATTCAGAACAACCCTCACCACATACTCCAGCCAGGGAGTCACTCAGGGGGTATCCCAACATTCCACAAACACAATTCTGCACTCCAGACAGGGAGTTTCACAGGGAGAGCCCTCATAACTCAAATAGCACAAGAGAGCTGGCACATTACCAAGGGAGCTGGGCAAGTGCTCCCAGAAGGAAGTCTGCAATTGGGAAAACAGCAGAGAAGGCAGATCATAACTCTGGTTCACCCAGCACAGACTATGGGGTGGTTGGTCATTGGGGCACCGATGAAGACACAGACAACCCGGCCATGGGGCTTGGGAGTGAACAATTATACTCCCAAGATTGGTCCATTGTGGACCTGGAGAACTCCGCTGTCATGAGTGATGGGGAATGGGGTCCTAACAGGCCGGGTAGTATAGCTGTAGAGAGAGCGCCACCTTGTGGCAGAAGGGAAAGTCCTGGTCTGTGTAGCCCAGTGGGTAAGCAAGCAGGCCAGGCAACTGGAGCTAAGTCACCAGAACCACCAGGGTATAAGAGAGGGGTTAGCCTCGTTGTACCTGGGTCACATGGCAGCCGGGGGTGTTCCCTGGAATTGAGGAGGTCACAAAGGAATAAAAGGTCTCCAAAGTATTTGGAGGATTTTGTGAGGTTGTCGTCAACCTGTTGAGAAAACTGTGGTAGCGTTGGCTGGGCATTTCAAAATGATAGCATGGTACCCTTTATGTCAAGGGAAACACATGTGCGCATTATGCAGGTCTTCGGCCTCACGTTCAATCAGAGGTCGCGGGCATGATACATGCGTGTACATGTTGCCTGATAAGTTTTATCCGGGGGTGAAGGGGTGTTGTGTCCCGGGGCTTGCAGCAGGCAAGCCCGGGCCATTGTCATGGCAACGGGCTGCCGAAAGCTGCCCGGGGCCAGACAAACAGGCACCAGCCTGCGCGCATGCGCAAGGCAAAGCACGCGCCAAGAAGTAACAACTTGACCTGGACAGCTTCAGTTCAGTTGCTGAGTGAGCAAGAGAGGCCTGCGTGCCTCCATTAGTGATTTAAGAAGCTGGAGGATTAAATAAACAAGGTTCCTGTTTCACAGCATGTCTGCCTCATTTGTCATCGAATCCAAGGATTTAACAGTGTGGCTTCCCTGGCCTCCCTCTGGACTCTCCTATTCCCCTGGCCTCCCCCTGGATCTCAGTGAACTGCCTTCTATGTGCTATAATCAGTTGGAGCTAAGCTCTGGCCTGAGAGGCCAAAACCGGCAGATGTAGCTCTGAAAGATGGTTTGGATTTTATGATGGAGGCAGAGCTGACAGAAGAAGCAAGCTTCCCTGGCCTTTGTCAGTAGCTGGACCTACTCATGTGGACGCCAGTACTGTGAAGTGTGGCAGGCTCCAGATATTTAACTGGCTAGAGGTAGCTTGGAACTGTTTGAACTGCTACTCTGTGTGCCTGGGACTTCAGGAGAATCATAGGACTGGACCTCACTGCAGGGCTGGCAGTGGCGTTCCCCAAGCTTATAGATCTGGGGTACTTCAATCTGCAATCCCTGGGGGTGGGGTTAGAAGTAGCCCAGGATTTCATGGAAACCATGACTTTCATGGGCCTTTCTCAGGTGATCCAGGGCCCGACTAGGAATAGAGTTCATGCATCTGGTTTAGTATTCTTGTCAGAGCAGTGCCTATGTGACCTGGAATTGGTGGACTTGTCTTTGGTCCCCCTATCATGGTCAGATCACAGTTTGGTGGCAATAAGTTTCTCAATAGCTGTACCCCCCCACAGGGAGACAGGAACTATTATACCCAGCAACTACTGGACCCAGATGGGTTCCAGAAGGAATTGGGGGATATAACTGCATATCTGCTGTGCAGTCCAGCAGAATTCTTAGTCACTGTTTGGAATAGGAAGATGACTGAAACTCATGCAACCTCACACAAAGACCACTCTGTCCTCCATGGTATAAAGAGGATCTGAGAGGGATGAAATGGATGAAGAGATGTCTAGAGCAGGGGTCCTCAAACTATGGGCTGTGGCCTAGTCCGGGGCCGCGGGCTCTTGGCCAGTAGGCTGGGGAAATGGCTGGCTGGTGTGCGCACACATGGGCGTGCATTCCCCCCACTCATGCTAGCACTCATGACCCCATTTGCACATGTGCGCAGTGTGAATAGGGATGCGCCTGTGACCCGTTTGTGCATGTACAAATGGGGCAGCTAGCCTGGGGCTGCTAGTGTGAACAGGGCTGTATGTGTGAACAGGGCCAGTTTGTGTGGCCCAGTGCATGCGCATGTGTGCACACCAATTTTGAAGTTGCTCTCCTTTCCTCTGATTTACGAGCCTAAAAAGGTTGGAGACCTCTGGTCTAGAGCACTGCTGGTAGAAGACAAGAGATGAATTTGATTGAACACAGGTAAGAGCTTCTACCTCATGGCGATTTGTGTAGCGGTATAAATACTTCTCCGTACTAATTGCATCTGCAGATAATTGACTGGTGACCATCTTTAAGGTAAGCCATCTCCTCTTGGGAAGGAGGAGACTGAGGTCCACCTCAGGTCCACCTACAGATTTTCTGAAAAACAAAATTGCTCAACTTCATTTCCAATTACATGCCAGCATGTTGCTGGTCCTGTTGAGGCCACTAAGGCAGGTTCTTGCCCTGTTATCTGAGAACAGTTTGACCCTGTTGCTCTTGAGGAAGTGGACAGGATCCTAGGGAGTATGCATGCAAGCACCTGTGTTTTAGACCCACATCCCTCCTGGCTTATGAAAGCTTCCCAGGAGCTGACAGGTGGATGGACTCTGGCAGTGATTAATGCTTCCCAACAGGAGGGGGGAGTCCCCCAGCACTTAAAGGAGGTTGTGGTCTACCCTCTTCTCATGAAGCCATCGTTGGATTCTACCCTGTTGGATAATTTTCAACCTGTCTCCAATCTTCCATTTTTGGGGAAGGTGGTTGCATGGCAGCTCCGGAGGTTTCTGGATGAAACAGTTTATCTACTGTGTTTCTCTGAAAATAAGGCCTGCTCTTATATTTTTTTGGCTTCCAAAAGAGGCACCAGATCTTATTTTGTGGGAATGTATTACCTTAGGACCACTGCAGCCAGGCCTCCCATGCCCCGACACCTGTCGTGCCACTGCCCAAGTTCTTCTGCGGCCGCTTGTGGCCACATGCCACATGGCACATTGCACCACTGCCACCGTTCGAAGCAGGAGGCGTGAAGCACATGTAAAAATCAAGCTAGGTAGAAGAGAGATTGAGTAACCCTGAACAGGCTTTTATATATCAAGATATACAATTTGAAGAGTCAGAGCAATTTAATTGTGAATCTATATTGGGACTAAATGTGGAAACTATTAGGCAAACTAATTTTATACAAAGTTATTTGGACTTATTTCAATTGCTAAAAATAACAAAGATTGATATCCAGACTATATTGGTAGANTGGATTGTTTAAGTTTAGAGTTTGGAGTTAGAGATATTAATATTTGTTTACTTGTATTTGAATGTTAGCCTAGGTTTGGTTTGGGAAGTCCGGGGGGTGGGGGGATGGGATAAATCATTGTGTAATACCTGTGATGTACTTCTTTTTTCTTTTATGATAAAAACAATAAAATTTTATATTGAAAAAAAAAAAAAAAAAACAAGCTAGGGCTTTGTTAAGTCCAGAGAATAATGGCGAAGGAGGCAATGCATGTTGCTAACAGACTTTTATTCTCACTCTCTTACAGCTAACAACCAACAAGAGCAGAGGCACGCAGGCCTCTATTTATACCCCCGGATCCCCGGGCAATTCCAACCAATAGCAGGCAGTCTTTTCCCGCCTTGTGCATGCGCGCAAGGCCGGTGCCGCTCAGTCTGGTCCCAGGCAGCTTTTGCAAATGCCCGGGACTCTTGCATCATCCCGAGCCTGCTTCTGCAGGCTCAGGACACAACACCCCTCCCCCCTAGATAAAATAATGCTGCGCCCAACATGGACGCCACCTTTGGTAGAACATGTGTTTACTAACTTTTGCATTAAATGCACAGAATGTGAGAAGCATAGGGTCATTCTGTCGTTCTGAGAACCAATGCGCCCAACCCTTTTCCTAAGAGCTAACCAGCCTGGACCTCTTGTCCAGATTTCTATAACTCTTGCTCACCTCACGTAATCTGCAAGGTATTTGGGAGGGCCTTTGACCCGTAGCGACCTTCTCGGACCTGGAGAGCTTGAAGTGTCCCCACCGTTGCTTTCCACACTAGGTGAATTACACTGTGGCTGTCTTATGACTGATGCCTGACTTCCCTGCTCGCCTCCTAGGCTCAGGTAGTCAGGACTCTGCTGTTCACTATACCTGGTTAACCTGCCTCTTAGGGAGCTTTCTGAGCCCTCTGAACTCATCTCCTTGTTCCCTGAAGGTGTGTAATTTTTCTGGCTCCTTTCTGTAGTGATAGGGTCCAAGGATACCTCCCTGTTAGCCCTAATGCATGGGGACTTCCTTCTGTGAGCCATTGCTGAAAAGGGCAAGTCCCCAACCTGTTGTGCCTGCTCTCTTGTATGTTGTGAGTTATGAGGATGCTCCCAGTCAGTCTCCTTGTCTGGAGTATTGTTGGTGAGTTGTGGGTAGTGAGTATACCTCCGGTGTGACTCCCAGGCTGGAGTGAGTGTGGGGGTGTATGTTTGCCCCCTGCCCCATGAATTCCTATTTGGAGCACTTGTGGAATTTGGGTGTTGCGTACCCATGGTGTCCTCAACAGCCAGTGTCGGCTGCTGATGCTGATACCCAGAATGCATTTCCCATTCCTCCTCCCCCCATTGAGAAGACTGAGGAGGAAACTGCGGCGAGTCCCACCTCACACGTAGTTGATCAATGTGATGGCGAAGAACGTGGCCGTCGTCCAAGGACACCTCGTAGGACAGAGGCCCCGAGACCTTGCAGACCACAGCCGGGACCCAGAGGTGTCCAGGCCCGTAATTCCTGGCCCAGACAGGATCACCCACTTGAAGGACCTGTGGTGGGTGCGGCTGGGACACCTGTGAAGCTACACACTCCGGATGCAGCCTGTCCAATTTAGTCACAAGCCGGCGACCCCAACGGAGTTCAGCCGGGCACTTACCCGTGGCAGTGTATGGAGTAGTACGATGGGCTAGAAGGAAGTCAGCCAACCTGTGATGCCAGTTGCCATAAGTCAGTTTCTTGAGAGCATCCTTGGCGACGCGGACCATCCGTTCAGCCAGACCGTTGGTGGAAAGGTGGAATGGAGCTGAAGTAGCGTGGCGAATCATGTTGGCTTGTAGGAAAACCTGAAACTCAGTAGAAGTAAATTGAGGACATTATCTGACACCAAAACATCTGGCAGACCATGGGCAGCAAAAATGTTTCTCAACACCTGGATGGTCTTGGCAGTAGTGGTGGATGACACAGGCACAACCTCCAGCCATTTGGAATGGCTATCTACAACAACCAGGAAGAATTGCCCCTGAAAGGGCCCAGCATAATCTATATGTATTCTAGACCATGGAGTGTGTGTTTCCTCCCACCTATGAACAGGGGCCTGCGGCATTTCCGGCCTGGACTGCTGACACACATGACACCCATGTACCTGGGCCTCAATGGCTCTATCAAAGCCAGGCCACCACAAATGGCTGTGCGCAAGCGCTTTCATCCTGACAATACCAGGGTGACCCTCATGTAAGGAAACTAAGATTCTCGACCTCAATGAGGCCAGAATCACAACTCTAGAACCCCAGAGGAGGCAGCCATTGAACATGGACAACTCATGCCTTTTGACCCAAAAACGTTGGAAATCCTCCTCTGGGCATCTGTCAGGCCAACCTGACAGCACCCATGTCAGCACGCATTTAAGTGTGTGATCAGTGGCAGTTTCAGCAGCCACATCCCTAGCATTAAGGGGACACTGGCAAATCCTGAATGGACAATATGTGCACAGCAGGGGCAGGATCAGGCTCCACAGCAGGCAATGGCAGCCTACTTAAGCCATCAGCATGACCCATTTCTTTGCCAGGTTTGTGAACTAGGGAATAGTCATAAGCTGACAAAAAAATGGACCATCGCAGCATGCGAGGGGACAGGATGTGTGGGGTTTGTTTGGATGTGGTAAACAACCCCAGCAAAGGCTTGTGGTCAGTAAAGACCGTAAAGTGGCGGCCATAGATGAAATCATGGAATTTTTTAATTCCAGCCACAATAGCCAAAGCCTCCCTATCAATTTGAGCATAGTTACGCTCAGCAGCAGACAATGTCCTAGAATAATATGCCACAGGGACCTGAGTCCCATCAGCCATCAGATGGCTAAGCACAGCACCCACACCATAGGGGGAAGCATCACAAGCCAGACACACTGGCAACTGC